CTGSWRRAMWACTCTTCTCCATCTGGATCTCAAATCTATTCATGGCCAATTTATGCCATTAATTCTTGCCCCTTTATCTGAAATAGCTTTGCTCTCTCTGCTATTTGCAAGCCTGATGGATTTAACAGCCATAAACTGCTCAATCTTCTTTTGGCCAAGATAAACATAAAATATCCTCTGGGCTCCAAAGGGAGGTGTTTCCACTTCTATTCTGGTTTAAAATCATTCATTTTGGATTGGAATGATTAGCATTAGTGATTTATTACCTATATTAGGTGAGAGACTGAGGATTATCACATGCTTTAATCATCATATTTTGAATATAATRTATTGGAGAGCCTGGCAGTGACTGTTGGAGAAGAGAGAACTCATCAACCAGGCTGAATTTAATTATTTTATGTGATAAATTTTGAAAAAGTAATAGAATTGAGGGATGAGTAGCATCTTTATTGAAGTAAGGTTGGCTTGAGAGCTTCAGGAGCAGCACAGGGTGAAAGAATCATTGTCGGTGGTAAATTAATTGGTGCCTTTAGAAGCAGAGTGGGGCGGGATGGCACCTTGGGGTGTGGTAGGAAGAAGGAAAGGCCATTTCTTGTTTATGGAGAGTCACCTTCCTTGTGGCCTGTTGGATGAGAAAGTTCCTCTTGTTGTTTTGTGATGTTATTTTAGCCTGAAACTTAAGGACAGACAAGGCTGGGAAATGTTTGGAGGATTAAAGTAGTGATGAAAAAGTGATTTTCRTACTGAGTTTGGCAATCTCGTTTTCACATGCCCAGCTAACCTGGTAGGAAGAAACTTGATTTCTTCGAGCTTGACACGCTAGTTTGAAACATTCAATTARATGTATTAAATGTCAATATATGTTTTGCCAAACTAATCATCGTTCCAGCCACTAAATACAAACTTCCTTGCCAGAGTGAGATAAAATTTCTGTGTGAATGATTTGGATGGTAGAGAATTGTCTGAGAGAGAGTGAGCACAAWATTGTTTAATTACTGCATAGTGCTAAACCTGCTAGTGGTGGATGGGAATTTCACATGGTGCTGGAGTGAAAGCATCACTGAAAGATGGTTTGTGTATTGAGAAATTGCATATTTGAGCTGTCAAGCTTGACTGTTCCTCGAGGAGTGAGGGAGATACCACCAATTGCTCAGCTCATGGAAACCTTCCCCCAATAAACCCCAACCAACATCCCTAACCCGTGTACCAAACTCTTCTCTTTGACAGAGAATGGGACAGTATTTGTRTAAATTTGGGGTCTGAATAGCTGGYTTGTTTGTCCCTGAGCCTGCTCSRCAGTTAAGAATAGTTCTTTATCTTCCCATTAAGACTGTATTATTTTACAGAGAAGTGGGTGGTATCCAGTTTTACCCTGATATTGGCCCACTCCCAGCAGATCCTGACTGACACTGGAAGATGTAAGAAATACCCACGGAATGTTTTCTTCACTGGTTAATTCTGTACATTTTAAAATCAGTGACCTGCTCCCTGAGCTCTGATCCACTCAGGATATGCCCAACATGAACTGGGGGTATTTCTTGATCCCACAGCCCCACAAACACAAAMCCCCTTTATTTTCCAGGAATATTTTCCCCTTAAAACAACTGAACTKCCTTGCAGAGCTCTCCCTGCTAAATTCTCCTGCCTTATCCCCCTCACCCTTGGCAGGAGCTTCATCTCTGGACCCTGCAGGAGCTTTGAGCCCGACCATGAGAAAACAGCGCAAGAACCAAAGCYGATCCCTCTTTTTGCTGCTTGCTGTGCTAAATATGCTGGGTTTTGTCTCCCCACAGCTACATCCCCTCGAGTCTCCTCGGAGCTCGAGCAGGCCCGGCCCCAGACGAGCGGGGAAGAGGAGCTGCAGCTGCAGCTGGCGCTGGCCATGAGCCGGGAGGTGGCGGAGCAGGTCGGTGCCCGTGTAGGTTTTCCAAAATGTCCATGCTTTCTGAGTTGAGGTTGCAATCCTGGTTGGTTTGTTTGGTTTTTTTTAAATTTTTTTT